AGGATATGAATATTTAAATAATTATTTCAAAGCTTTTGTTCTGAAAGTTATGGGTATTTAATAATTAATTTCTGTTTCATTGCGAGATTGTATTCAGCCCATAATATCACATTGTTGACCAAAAGGGAGGTAATTCTGTCATTGTTTACTGTAGATTAATTAAAATCATTCCACACTATTTCTAGCAGCTTGAAGTTAAAATCTATATGAACTGATGAAAATATCGAATAGTTTAGCTTTGGAATTTGCAGCACATCCTCACGTATGCTTTCACTGACATGCAAGTAGGAGTGAGAGGAGGTAGGAAATTCAACGTCCACCTCACACACACTTCACTCCCACTGTTTTGACTAGCAGGAAATTAGCTGTATTCTAAGTTCTATAACCGACCACTGAATGTGTACAGGAGCTTCAGACCCAAAGTGAAACAAAATAATGTTTTTGTCAAACCATTTAGTACTATTAAATATTCAACGTGACGTTATTGAAACATATTACTTATCAACAGGCAGCTTTAACATGCAGATTGCAAAAGGTCTTATGTATGTAACCCTGAACAGCAGCACTATGAGGTAGAATTTAAGCTTCATAGCCTGTGTGATAATGTATGGTGGAGCTGGTCACACACAGTTTTACTCAACCTGACCAATTTTCATTCCATTTTAATTAATGGAGTGGATATCAGGCAGGTTCTATAAATGGTACATGGTCCACTCTTGCCTTCTATTACTACATAGGTAGTGAGGTCAGAAATCAGATCCTGTGCTTAGTACAATATTGCTTCTTTTTTCCCTCAATGTTTATATTCTCCCTTTGGATGTGTGTTAATTTGACTTTTTTTGAGATACTTGAAATGTGTCCTCAAACAGAACAAATAAAGACCATAAGTGGTAACTACTACCATAATTATATATAAAAAAACAGTATTTTGACTTCTTATTTGGTATTGTTATTTATGTATACATTGTACTTGCAGTTTTTCACTGTAAAGCATTATACATTTTTTTCATTTCACTCCCTTTACATATTAAATTTTTGGGATGAGCATTCAGCACATTGGTCAGTAAAGTCATCATAGACCCAGGAAACCATAGAGCTGTTCTCTCATCAGAAAGAGGTGGTGGTTTAACCTGAGGGTTACCATGCCTCAGGGGAAGGGAGAGGTTGAAAAGCAGGACTTTCAAGGTGACCTCAGCCTGTACTGTTGGCATTGTTAAACCAACCGTCCAGAAAACTGAGCTAACCGATGAATCAGTACAATGCGCTGGAGCACCAATGTTCAGTGATGCAAATTTATAGAATGTGGGTTACTCTCTGTAAAGATCGATATTATTCATATCCTCATCTTAACTATTTTACTCTGAGGAGGTGTGCAATAGAACCCAGCAGCTTCCTCACAATGGGAATGACAACCATCCTTGAGTTTGTTTCACACTGAAAACAGCACACCTCAGAACATCCCAGCTGTTCTCTCAGATATGCAGAGCACAACATTTGGAGTGTCAAGGGAAAGAACTGAGACATATAACTGGTGTATGAAAGAAAAAAATGGTTTGCAGATGACACTGCTTTAGCAGTAAGCACAGAAGAAAGATTACAAGAATGTGTCACTAGGTCTGTAACAGCAGACATGACCTTTGGAATGAAACTGAATATTAATAAAATTAAAGTGAGACTTGTCTGAAATCATCAAAATACATTTTTATATTCATAGAAGTAAGATATTAGAACAAGGACAAAACATTCAAGTATTTAGGAAGTATAGTATCTATGAATGGAAGATGTAACAAAGAAAGAACAGCAACGAAGCCATTGGGAGAGGCCATATTTGATAAGAATGGATGGTTACAAACTGGAAAACTGAAAAACTCAAGAAGTGACTTGTAACAAACTTGATTTGGAGTGTTTTATATAGATTTGAGACTTGGACATTACAGATAGAGTCCAACTTGCTAAACAGCTTTGAAATGGGACTTGTAAGAAAATGGAAAGGACCAGTTATACAGAAAACGGAACAAATGATTATGTGCTGAGGAAAGTGAATTAAACTTACTGAACTTAATCAGGAAACGTCAGAGAGTCTGGGTAGGACACAACTTTAAAGGAAACAGATTAGAAAGAGATATGGTGGAGGAAAGATTTCAGGGGAAAAAAAGGAAAGTGGATATCAACGCTATATAGCTTGAAAAATGAAGTAGGCAAATTAAAAGACTGGTACAGGATAATGAGACATGGAAAGTTCATTATGAATTCTGGGCCTATCTTGAGCAAAGCATAGATAATGATGATAATGAGCGATAAAAACAAAAGATAGTGATGAACAACCAGGCTGTTTGTTCTGTTCAAGGTAGATTGGTCTTCATTTTAGAATAAAAACATTGAGTTGCATGTTTCATTGCAAAACGAAAGCTATTCATACCAGTGTTTATGTTCTCAAACTTGTGACCTTCATTACACAATGTGAATTCAAAATAATATTAGCTAAATTTAATTAAATGTATTTGGGTTTGATGTCATTGCAAATATTTTCAAAATTTGAGCAGCGAGTTTGTATAAAATGTTCAAAAAGAAAAATTGGGAGCCAAGACATTTTTTACCAGTTCTCTTGAGGTTTGTGAAGGATACATTTTAAAGGAGTTGGGAAGAAACATCACATTCTTATTTAACTGCATGAGTCTGGAAAACATACACAACAGTGGAGCCACATACTCACTGAGAATGCAATGCAGCCTATTTGCCTTGCTGCTCTGCTATATGCTATAAGCATGACAGTTTTGCTTGCTATGGCCAGGCATCATTAGTAGAAATTAATTAGTTTGAGTCAATAATATTAAACAATGAGCATTGTATATATGAATGCTTATTGTACATTGTAATTGTTCTACTCATTTTCTGGCAAATACTGCAGGCTTTTGTTGAACTAGCTTATCTTCAGAGCCTCATCCAGTTCTGGTAAGCAAAACCAAGAAGTCATAAAGATTTTGTAGTTGAATAGAATCAGATTTCATTCCAAGCGTTTTATATGCCATGTTAACTCTTAGTACACAAATAAAATCTACCTTCCTAAGTACTGAGCTCCATTTTATTCTCACTAGGAATTTGCTCCTTGCTGTGATTTTAATACATTGCTCACTCCTGTGGTTTCTTTTCCATCATAAAATGTACTTAATTTACGACTAAAGGGCTCAAACACATCATTCACCAACGACACTTCAAAACACATTGTATAACTGTGTATGAATCAAATAGGGCTAGTTCATGTAATTTCTGTTAATTAAATCAAAGATTACATATTCAACAGTGAATTCCTTTAAGAACATTCTGATCACTTCTTGCAATCAGCATTACTAAATACCATTTAGCATTATGAATTGTTAGTGCTTGCTCTCCCAATACAACTTCATAAGATAAACTCATATGTGATGTCGTTTTACAGAAAAAGACAAACAATAGCATTCTAATGAATCAAACTTAGATCAATTCAATCTTCCTCAAAGATTCTCCTTTATAAAAGGTATTTTGGATGATCTACACCAACTCATCCACCAAATCATCAGAATACCTACAAAATAGCTCATGCGTTTTATTAGATCCCAATAAAGTCATCACTGTTTACAAAAGACATTCTTCATAAAGTGTAATATCAATCTTTTAATCCTCTTAATTTATATGAATTCAGTTTATTTAGTTGAAACATAATTAATAGAAAACAGAAAAACAGTTTTAATTGAGGTAGAAATAAGGTAGATCTATGCTTATGATTTAATTAATAGTGTCCTCATCTTTGCAAAATGGGACAGAATGGCTGGTATTATTTTGGATTTAAAAAACCCAGAAATTGCTGGAGAAGCAATTCTTTTCCGGTTTTTGAATCTGTTTTTGATTCTGATTTTCAGCATCTGAAGTTCTTTGTTTTATCTTTATATTCATTTTGAATACTTTGAATTCAAAAGACATTATCTCAATATGTCTCAATTGGAAGATTTATGTTAGAATTGTTTGTATCAAAACACATACATCATGGTCGACATGCTTTTGAAGTTAGACCAAGTCTGTGTACTGACCTGATTTAATTTTTTGTACATATTCTGATTCCAAGTAGTTTTCAAATATTAGAACTTGTCCAAGCTAAAGTTTAAACTCTTGGCCAAACTTAGCAGCTCCCAGGTCACTTACAAGTTCAGTGGCCTGTTGTGAGCCTCTAATTTGTATTGCTAATGGTAACATGTCTTTTTGAAGAAGGTACTTGCACGATGGATGATCTAATGAATACAGGCTCTTGGCAACAATTCTAGATCAGCCACTTTTCAATTACTTTCCGGAACCAATTAAGATCATGACAAAAGTTTGCTCAAGTTTAGTTTCCAATTCAGAATTATATATCAAACCTCCACCATACAATAACCGAAAGAACTGTGGATGCTGTAAATCAGGAACAAAAGCAGAATTTGCTGGAAAAGCTCAGCAGGCCTGGCAGCATCGGTGAAGAGAAAATCAGAGTTAACATGTCAGGTCCGGTGACCCTCCCTCAGAGTTAACGCTAATTCTGGATTTTTTTTCTCAACAGATGCTGCCAAACCTCCACCATGTTCTTTTCAATACTACAGGTTGCACTTCACAACAATTTACCATAAGAATTCCGTTCACATTTTGCAAAGAAAATAGTTACATTTCTATTTATTTTCTTCATACTCCTAAAGCACTGGCTATCCTCTTATTCAGTGTTTTGAGATCAAATCAATGTGATGTTGTGCAACATTATCCAGAACTAATAACACAAAATATTGTGCAAAAATATCCACAACATTTAATATGCAACTAAAAGGACGATGACATTCACTAAACTATTCTTCAGCAGTGATTCAATATGTTCAGGCATAACACATTTCATCTGCCATTGTTTTACTGTCAATCAATCTTGTTAACGTTTGTTATTCTTTACTCTTCCAATCTATATTCCTATGCCAACTGTAACAGAAGCATAAGTTGATAAACATAGATATTAACAAATTGGTAATTTTATTCTAAAGTGCACCAAGAAATCTCTACAGACAATGCTTTTGATTGAAAGCAACAAAGATAGGCGCATTTCATGACAATCATAAATCCATGATGATTTCTTAGTAAAATGTAACAGAGCTTCCTACACTGTTAACAGACACTAGTGGATTACTTTTATATAAGACAAAGAAAATGTGGGTCTTCCCAACAGTGCGATTGAGACCTCAAATGTGTTAACTTTAGAAGCTTATCCAGCTGAAACATACCATAGCCATTTCATTAACATTCTATATGTTTGCATAAAAAAAGATTAAGTCAAGAGCAGCAATACAGTGGCAGTATTCTTGATCAGAGCACATATTAACATACTCAGGCAACTGTAGGAAATTACCCATGTGGATTAACATCATAACATTGTTTATGAGGGACAGTTTACAATTTTGCTGCACCTGGCACATAGAAGATATCTTTATTTAATATTGCCAAATAGTTCACATAGGTTATAATGATTATGTCCTTAGATTATTAGTGTTCTATATTTCAATGTAAAGAATCTTTACAATGCAGTTTAATATTATAATGTGGAGGTGCCGGTGTTCGACTGGGGTGGTTCACCTGACAAAGGAGCAACGCTCCGAAAGCTTGTGATTACAAATAAATCAATTGGACTTTAACTGGGTGTTGCTTAAAATTATGTTTGCAAAGATCTAGAATTTTGTCCCATTTTCTTTGGTAATTGAACAGATATTCTATTATCTCTTGCAGTTTATATTATTTTTAGGAACAGTATATCTGAATTACATTTTTTTGGCCCAAAATAAAAACTGTAAGTATTTATGTTTGAATAAAGCCCTAATAAGGTTTAAACAAAACATCTATTTCTTTACCACACAATGTTAATTGTACATCATGGTTAGAATGTTAATTGTATAAAATGAATAAAATTAACATCTTTTCATCAAGAAACCACACGTTTAGGAAATCAATAACTAAATGTTATAGTATGTGAAGAAGAAAGAAGCAATTAAATTGCTTAAAGTGATATGCTCAGGCCTCTTTACTGAATTAAAATAAAACAAAAATTTGATGAGGTTTAATACAACACACTTCATTCACAATTTCTTTGCTTTGTGTTGGAAGGCAGAATTCCTTAGGTATGGTGAGTCATCCAGTATGTTGTTCAATTGATCATTTTTTTTAAAGTGCAAGCCGAGACAGTAAATTCTGGCAGGTTATGAGGTCACTGACAGGCATCATGGCTGAGATCAGTCCTGCTCTCACACATTCCAGAAGGGGTCACCATTTAGCAATCATATGTGACAATTCAGGCTAGTTTTACCCCTCATCAGCTCAAAGACACTGAAGACTCTTCCAGTACCCCTTCTGTTAACCTGTCTGTGGACAGCAGACTTAAAACAAACCAAGAACTGAATCTGGCGCAATCATATTCTCTGTGGTTATTAACACACCTAACCATGAAAGGAACTCAGAGGTTTTGACTTGATCTGTAAAGGCATAATATAGTAAGCAACGTTCACTACTGTAATCCTACATATATTACACATATTGGATTTCTATCCTTTGTATATCACATTGTTTTACTTAAAATAATTCTATTTTGAAAAATCATTTTTAAAACACTTCGAGATAGTCAACTGTCCAAATTGATATTTTTATAAAATATATTCTTAATTCTAAAGGTATAGTAAATATTATCTATTAATCTGTTTTCTTTCTGGTAGATGAATCAAGCTGCCACGTCATTCATATGACATGTATACTATACAAAAATACATTAGAAGTAAATGTTCAGCAATAGATTTTGCTGAACAAAATGCAATCAAGTGCTATCTAGATATATCTACTTATTTTTGAATGGATACTTCTCCCTTCCATATGTCTTTTGCATTCATTAATTCATCACACAATATATATTAGCTCTTTAATAACAAGATAACTATTTTATGCGTGGAGTAAAACTACAGCTGTTAATAATACATTTATTGACTTTGAATGTGTTATCTGAATATTAAATTGATAAATGTGCTAATGGTAAGAAGGTGTTTTTTTTTGATGCATTTTTTTTCTCAAAATCTTGCTAAGATCAATTGTGTATACCAAAATAAATTTTAAAAGATTGAAGCGAAATCTATTTTAGGGACTGTAAAATATAAAGAATTGAATATAGTTATTGCTTTTAAGCTCCATTTTCATTTACTTAGCTCTATGCTCTACTTCACACTGTCACAATTGCCCTGCATCCATCCTCCTGGGAACTAAATCAAACATTTTACTTATTAATTTTGGCCAGAACATATTGGCGATACCAGGTCTACGGTTGAAAATAAAGAATATATAAAATAAGATATTGCTGAAAGCAATATTTTAAAAGAATATTTGCAAGCCTTCTTAACATTCTATAAGAATTACTACAAAACCTTTGGGCCATGGAGCTCCACATGTTCAAATTGCAGAATATATACAGTGGTTTGCCAGGTCATTTCAAAAGTAATGTAGATCTTCTACAGGTTAGGGTCAGTTTGCAATATAGCTGACATCCGATTGTTGGAAGCTATGTAGGCTGACATGTTAATTACAGATTTTCGCAAATGCAGAAGGTCAAGATCTCAAGTGCATTCAAGGTTTTCGTGAAAGGAAGAAAGATATTGAAAAGAAAAGTTTGAAAGGATTGAAATTCCTAAGAATGAAAAGCAGGGAGAATATGAATGATGAGCACAAAGGTATTACCTTTAAGCAGTAGTTGTGAATTTAACACAAAGTTTTGCCAGCAGTAAATTTGGTCTCTCCAAAATTCCTAGCTTTCTTTGCATCAGTGATAGTACAAAGGAAACAATTTACATTCATCAGACTTAGATCCTACAAGTTATCGTTAGCACTCACTGTTGCCAGGAGACAAACTAGAGTCCTGCCCTGCTGAGGTTAGGGCACCATCCAGACTAGTAGTTATGAAGCAATCTTTTTATGGGAGTGGCAGCCAAAAGCCCACTTTCAATCAGATGGAGAAACAACGAGAAATTGGGTAATGGGACGTTGTAAAAACTCTGGTGACCATCCAGGCCTCAGAACCTGTTGAAAACTGCCTTTGCTCAAAATGTGAGTGACCATTCAAGCTCAAAAAATTTCATGTAACTGTTGGCATTAACATTATTCACACCATTCCATGATATTACAGACAAAAAATACAGTTCTAATTGAATGATCTCTTGGCAGAGCTGAAAGAAAGAAAGAAAAAAATACCCATTGGGCATTGATGTGTTTCAATTCCAAATCACTTTTTTTTCTTGAAACTTTAACAGGTTTGACTTTGACTTACTTTTTAAATAGGTTTCTAGGCGCATAGTACATACTCTATATCTTGGAAGCCAATGTGCATTGTAATGTGGGGGATATTACAGAGTTGGTTTATTCATTTGGTTGGTCGAACAGATTTTGTCCTGTGTTACAATGAGATGCAGGAAACATTAAACAGAATATGCAACTGCAAAAACATAACATTTACATTGTTTTTGAACTTTGTAGCAGCTTCAGCTGGAACATTATACAATTTCAATGTTTGATTAAATTTTTAAGAACATTGTGTCTAACCCCAAGTCACCTTGTAGTATAACGTATTATAATCCACTGAGGCTTGAAGAGACAGAATATCTTTTGGAAGCAATAGTATATTGATTTTTTTTTAGATTTCAGAATTCCTTTGCTGGATTTCTGTAGGATATACCATAATTAGACATAACTCGAACTAAGCGTTGAAATTTCACTTTGGTGAGAGTAGAACATATACATCCTGTGACAAATATAATCAAGAATGCATGAAGGCTCTATAGACGACATCATGGAATTAGAAACTTCCTTGGCATGTTGGCATTGGGGAATGAGCAGCATGAAGAAATATCCTTCAAATTCTGAACGAATTCAATAATCAAGTCACAGGACACATTTTCTTTGAGGTTTCCATCAGTCAGTGATGACACTTGCCTCCCTTTGGCGTAGTCTTTCTTTCTGTTTCAGAAGAGAAAAAAAAAGCTCATCGTCATTTACAAACCTTGGACTATAATCCTCTGTGAATTGCAAAATCCACATTGATTTAATTAACTAGGTTGTTCAGCTGGATTTGAAAAATAGTTACATTTACAATCCAAGATTGAAAATTGCCTTTCAACTCAAAACGTGGCACGTGTCCAAAATAACTAATTTGCAGTTTTGTGATGCTTATTCCATTATTTGTCTTTTACATTTTATTCCTATATTAAGATCATGGAAGGAAGACATAGCATTGTGATTTTCTTTAAAACATCAAACATAGCAGATTTAGAGGCTGGGGCTGTGACTTAACATAATTTTTGTCTTCTTATTACCCAGTCATAGCTAACACATTTTAAATTGGTTGAAGTTGCTAGAGACCAATCATTCCAGCCCCAGAATAGTGCTGCAGAAATTCCTCAGGGCAACCATCTCCAGCTGCTTCACCAATAAGCTTGCTTCCAACCATGAAAGATCAGCATGGGGATGTTTGTTGGCGACTGCACTGTTCAGCACCATATGTACATCTTCAGGTCTTAAAGCATGTTACCATATGCAGCTAGGCCCAGACAACACTCATGTTCAGGCTAATATGTGGAAAGTAACATTCACACAAAATAAGTGTCATCTACTGGAGAGAAAATCTAACCATCTGTTGACATTCAATGCATTACTATCACTGAATATCCCACCATAAATATATTGCATGTTACCATTGACCAGAAAGTTAAATGGACTAGCCATATAACCACCATGAATACAGGAGCAAGTCAAGGCTGGGAATTTTGCAATAGCTCACCTTCTAGCTTCCCTAATCCTATCCATTTTCTGTAAGATACAAGTCAGGAGTTTGATGGTGCCATCTCCACTTGTCAGGATTAGTGCAGGTGTAACAATAGTCAACAAATTTGCCAACAATCCAGAGAAACAAGTCCATGTGTACCCCACGGAAAATGTTTAATTGCTCCATCACCAGAACACCATGACTACAGTATGTATAATATCCAAGACGAGCTGCAGCAACTCACCACAGCTCTTTCAGCAGCACCTTGCAAACACATGATGTTTACCATCTAGAAAGACAAGGACACTAGATGCATGGGTAAACCATTCTTTGAAGGCACCCAATATTCTGACCTGGAGTTATTTCACTGTTCCTGCACTGTTGTTGGATTAAAGTCCTGGAACTCCCTTATTAACAGCAATGTAGATGTATCTTCACCAGGTGGATGCAACAATTCAAGAAGTTGTCTCACCACTATTTCTTCAAGGACAATTAGAAATTAGAAATAAATGCTACCAACTATGCTTCTGCCTCTGCTGGGTTCATCTTGTTGGTTGGTGATGTCTGGGATTTTGGCTGTGGGACAGCTCTTCTAATTTTAGCACAAGGCCCCTAAATGTTAGTGAAGAGGGCTTTGCAGTGTTGACAGGGCTGGGTATGTCACGTTGTTTGTGATGCCTACATCAGTGCTAGGTGGTCCATTCTGTACTATTCTGTTTTGACATTTCTGTAGCAGTTTGGTATAATTGAGCAGCTTGCTAGGCCATTTGTATTGCTTTCAATCACAAGTAGACCAGATGAGGAAAGGAGAGTAGATTTATTCTCTGAAAAGTGTAAGTGAACATAATGGGTTTTTACAAAGAAAGTTTCAATGTACAAGTACTGAGACTAGCTTTTAATACCAGTTTTTGAAATTAAAACTGAATTAATTTTAAATTCCATTGACTGCTGTGGTGAGATTTGAACCTGCATCTCTAGGGTAGTATTATGGACCAATGGCCAACAGAAGCAGGTTGGCAGCCTGATTTTCTGACAGGGACCTGGAGGTCCTGGTGGATGGGATGCCTGAGGAGATCACAGTATACAGCCTGCATGGTTATTCCAAAGACCAAGATCAGTGCAGTGTCCACAGTCTTGAGAACTGCCCAGCAGTGTAGGAAGAAAGCTAATGACCCACTGCACTCCTCAATAGTAAGTGCCACCATCTTCTCTCTTCTAAGTCACACTTACTCTATCTCTGCTAGGACACCCACTTTCCACCAAGGCTTATTGTCCTTCACTCTCTTAAGTAAATCCAACATCTTCCCTTAAGCGTCCTTACCCAGCCCAACTCCCTTATAATACTAATCCTGAATTCCCTCCGTGCGGCCTACTTACACTCTCAGATGCCTCACCACCTTTCTCCTACCTCCACTAAGAGCTGTGCCAGCCATTTCTCTCTCACTAGTTCCGTCCCTTTGTCTCATTCCAGGAGAAAATAGCGTGGCAAGAACCAAGGAGGCTGTTGGGCTTGACCTCTGTCTCCATCACCCAGTACGAGGACAGAATCCTTGTGTTAGCGGGACAGGGCTGTGACTGCTCATGCGGTGATCCTGAGACCTCTATGTCCTGGACATCATGTAAGATTCATTGTCAAGGGCTGAGTGACTCTCCTATCACCAGCACTGTCAGTGTAATCTTAACATGCCCAACTTCTAACCCCATTTTGCAACCCATTCCCTTTCATCTCCTGTGGGAACTAGCAGCCTCTGCACGGTTTCTGCTATGAAGAGGGCACCTTCTCAGGATATCACCTTCTCCTCCACCTCTGAGGAAGCAGTCACTGATTCTTCTGCAGTACGTACATTGTCTGGATTAGATTTGGGAGCACATGTTGATCGACACATCACAGCATGCGGGCATCTGGCTGGCTCTGAGGTCAGGCTGGCAGTTGTCATGGAGATCCAGGTCCAGCACACTCAGAGTGGGGCTGGATATGCGCATCGACCCGCACTCTATTGCTGCAGTCACTAATGCTCATCATCATTGGCAAGGTAACAGGGGTATGGAGTGATCTGACCTCACTCCAGTTGCCTGTTCAACATAAGGAGTACAACAGAAACAGGAGGAGGAATCACATGCAAGCACCCAGCTGTCTCCTCTCAGCACTCTGCAGAGGTGCTCAAAACCATCCAGCTCCAGCCTGCCTACAGTGCCTAACCCTGTGGGTGTTTAAGCAGAGGAAGGTGAACCTGTACACTATCAAATGCCCCCAAGATCACTTGACCAAAACTCCAAGGCCAACAGGTTGACTCCCTCCACCTCAGCTGCATTTGGTATTCTTGCCTTTATTGGTCAATGCATTGAGTATAGGAGTTAGGAGGTCATATTGCAGCTGTACAGAATGTTGGTTTGGCCACTTTTGGAACACTGCATTCAATTCTGGTCTCCCTGCTATAGGAAGGATGTTGCAAAACTTGAAAGGGTTCAGAAACTTTAATAAGAATGTTGCCAGGGTTGAAAGGCTTGAATTATAGGGAGAGACTGAATAGTCTGGAGCTATTTTCCCTGGAGAGTTGGAGGCTGAGGGGTGACATTACAGAAGTTTATAAAATCATGAGGGGCATAGATAGGATGAATAGCCAAGGTCTTTTTTTCCCAGGGAAGGGAGTCCAAAACTAGGCGGCACAGATTTAAGATGAGAAGGAAAAGATTAAAAAGGGACCTAAGGGGCAACATTTTCATACAGAGGGTGGTTCATGTGTAGAACGAGCTGCTAGAGAAAGTGGTGGAGGCTGGTACAATAACAACACTTAAAAGACAGCTGGATGGGTGTATGAATAGGAAGGGTTTAGAGGGATATGGGCCAAATGCTGGCAAATGGGACTAGATTAATTTAGGATATATGGTCGGCATGGACGAGTTGGACCGAAGGACCAGTTTCCATGCTGTGCAGCTCTATGACTTTATTACTGTCATGTGTACGGAGGTATAGAGAAAAATGCTGCCTTACGTGCTTCACAGGTAGATTCTACTACAAGTGCATCCATAACAGAACAGAGTCCAGGATACAATGTTACATCTGCCGAGAAGGCGCAGAGAGAGATCAACATTAACATATGGGTGCTTACCCTGTGTGCAAAATGGCCTCGTGGCAGCATTAAAGTGCTCCACAGTGAAATACCCAAGTTTATAACTATGTTTAAAGTGGGTCGAAGATGTGCCATAATAATGTGGTGAGGCTGGTGTGCATCTGATGCAACTTTCTCAGGCAAAGAATACAGCAGCCGCTGCCCATGGAGCGTACCCTGAGTTGTTGGGGACCACTGGCGAGATGGCGGTTTGGAGGAGCAAGAGCTGGAGCTGCCAGGTATCTGCTATGACTTTCACATTGAGAATTGTCACTGTCTATTTTCTCTCTGCTGCATGGGAGAATAGCAGATTATACGTAAATGAGGTGAATATAAGAAACAATGAGATATAAATGTATGCAAAGCATCTTTTCTTGATGGGAAGATTTTTCTGAGTACTTTTTGAAGTAGTGTGATGTGGATACTTTATGAGACAGTGTGGCACGAGGAGTTAAGGAAATCTGTTTAATGATAGCCTTCAGATTGTTACAGCTGCAGATTGGTACAGACCTGGCAGAGCAGTGAAACTAGAGATTCAAAAGCCTGAAAACAAGAAGCATCTGTCACCATTTCTCTCTGTGAAAATGGGAAAAAGTACAGACTCTAAAGAAAAAAAATTCTCCCACAGAAATACCTAGGATGCATCCAATCAGCTACTCAATCGAAGTTCAAGCACCGCTATGCAGACAATATTGTATCATTATTTCTTCAATCAAAAGAACCGTGAGAAATAACCCTTTAGTCTTGTCTGGGCTCTTGAACTATGTCGCATACTTTTTCTGCTATATTTTTTCAATTATAGTATTCATGTCAAGCCTTCTGATGCTTTTTTTTTCTCTCCTATTTCTGAATGATTTTAAAGGAACATAGTTTAAGTGTATACTAATAGAATAGTAATTTTTTTTTGCTATTTGTTAAAGAAAAGTTTGTTTCCTGCAAATGACAAAATCTGGTGTGAATTGCATTTGTCCTGAACAGCAGTTAGACGGTCAAATTGATTATCTTGGTAGTCGAATTGGATAGTTACACATTTGTGATGCTTTGTGTGATAATGGAGCTCAATTATTAGTGCACTCCTCCCAACTGAATCGTTAGCATAGACCTGATGATCAGAGTACCTGGAGAGGCATATCCCCTTTAAATAATATGTCAGTAAGTGTACCAGGTCAATTCCAACATGTTTTACCCAATGGGTTAAGTTTTGGACTGTGTGCCTCTGATAAAACTTTAAATGCGCCATTAATTTCTGATTTGAATGTGGACATGATGGATCCTCTTGCTTCCAGCGAGCACCTCAATTTAGTGAGCACAGAAAATGTGGCAGACATGGTTCCAGCTGGTCAATAAATGAAATGCTCATTTTTAATGATACGCCTCCCAACTCCTGCATCCATCTCACCAGCTAGTTAGGTTGAAATTAACCCATATATTGCATTCTTACAAAATAAGAGATTCATTGTATAATTTCCAGGTTGATTTTAACTCTTCCTATTTGTATCTTGACTCGAGACTGATTATGCAATGCTCCAAATCCTTTGTGGTACAGACTGTCCACATGCTGGAGGATATATTTACTAGCATTTAGTCACACAAAACAATTAAAAATTCCAAACTTTTAACAGTTTATCTTGATTATCTGAACAGGGCTACAATTAACTAGAACATTCTGTAACCAAAGTTCTGTATTCCCAAGACAGTAATGAGCAACACTTCTGAGTACAGAATACTTTACCATATCTGGAATTTGTAGCAGATAATTCAAAGACATTGGATAAAATTAGATAATTCCATTACATCAAATGGTCAGAATAATTGCTTGCAACTATATGACAAGCTAAACAAAAAGTAAAATATTAATTTAGTAACAACTGAATCTATTGAGACAGTTTTACAAACTTATTTACTTCAAGAAAAAGATTAGTATTGACAGTATGTGTTTCACAACCTCAGAACATCTCAAAGTATGTTACAGCCTGTGACATTTTTTTTTTCAATTGTAGTCAATGTTGTAATGTACTTTACAATGGCATTCATGTAGATTAAACTGTAGGTAGATCAATGTCTTCAAATAGGACAACATTAAGTCACAATTTGTCTTGAAGCATGCAGTACTAAACTGGGTCATGTGCCATAAGGATCAGTGCTGGGGCTTCAGCTATTTACAATCTATATTTAAATGACTTAGATGAAGAGATTGAGAGTGAAGTATTAATTCTGTCAATAATACAACTAAGGTGTGAACGTAAGCTGTAAGGAGGAAACAGATAACCTGTCTATATCGCTATGCAGTCTAAGTGATTGGATAACAAAAGTGTCAGAGAAGTAAATGTAGGGAATTGTGAAGTTATTCAGTAGAAAGAATAAAGAAGCAGAATATTTTTATAAGCAGTGAAATCTGAAAACTTGAGCGTTTAGAAGGCTGTGGGGTGTAATTGTACAAGAGGATTTAAGTACACGAAAAGGAAGTCTTGCTGCAATTGTGCAAGGCATTGGTGAGACAACAGCAGAAGCACTGTGTGCAGGTTTAGTTTCCATATCTAAGGAAGGACATACTTCAATTGGAGTATGACAGCAAAAATTCACTGGATCGGTTCCCGGGATGAATGGGTTGTCTTATGATGAGAGGACACAGAAATTGGGCCTATGCTTTATGGAGTTTAGAAGACTGAGAGATGATCTTATTGAAACGTACAAGGTGCAGAAGCTGCTTAACAGGGTTGACAATGAAAGGTTGTTGCCTTGGCTGGGGAATCTAAAACATGGGATCACAGCTTCAGGATAAAAGGCTGATCTAGTGGGGTTGAGATGAGGAGACATTTTTCAGACAGAAGATTGTAAATCATTGGAATTCTCTACTATAGAAGGTTGTGGATGTTCCATCCCTCATTGAATATATTTAAGCTCTGAGGCAGACAAATTTTTGGCCTCTGAGGAAATTCAGGGATACAAGGTGCAAGTGGGCAGATGGATGTGAGGCCAATGATCAACCATTATTTTAATGAATGGCTGAACAGGCTTGAGGGACTCGAAGGTTCAGTTCTGCTTTTATTTCTTAGATTGTAATAAATTGTCAACCAGCAATTCTTTCAACATTTACCCTGGCAAAGCAATTGCATTATTTAAAATCTCCATTACATCTTATTTTAACACTTATTGTTCCAACTTAAAAGCCTCATAATTTTTCTTCAGATTTGAACATTCATTCCTGGTTTCTGCCTCTGGAATCCTTTCTTTTGGGGTGGCATGGTGGCTCAGTGGTTAGCACTGCTGCCTCACAATGCCAGGGACCAGGTCTGATTCTCTCTTCGGTCTGTGTTTGTGTGGAGTTTACACATTCTCCCCGTGTCTGCGTGGGTTTTCTCCAGGTGCTCCGGTTTCCTCCCACAGTCCTAAGATGTGCAGGCTCAGGTGGATTAGCCATGGAAAATGCAGGGTTTCAGGGGTAGGGTGAGAGGGTGAGTCTGAGTGTGATGCTCTTCGGATGGTCAGTGTGAACCCAATGGGTTGAATGGTCCGCTTTCACACTGGAGGGATTCTATGATCTATAAGTCTGGTATCATTTCCCCAGGAAATACTCAGACTGAATATGTTGTATAATACAAATTCAACTAAATTCTTGTCTTAAACATCTTATTAAAATAATGTTTACATAAAAATGAGCAGGATACTGAATTTGTTTTAGATGCATTTGTATTTAAGCATTGTATTTGAATGCTGAATCAGCATCAAATAGCTTTAGGGACACTGACATAGTTTATCAGTAATCACAATCTTACCAGGCTGTTAGGGTTTGTTTTCTTTGTTTCAACTTTCTTTTCCAAAGTTATCTTCTTCACAGACTGCTGAGCCTCCTTCAACCTGAAATAAGTTCATAAGAAACTAATCATTTATTTCAAGTCGTTGCCTATATTTTCATTAACTATGATGGAATGATTCAGTCTATGTTTAAAGCCACATTGCAAATACATACACAATGCTTATGTTTATGATTTTGCTGGAAATAATGAACATTTATCTCATAGGTGAAAAAAGTATCTTTTCTCAAATGCATGCAAGGTTGTCATTAAGGGAAATCAGAATTATTTTCAGAATCTCAAACAACTCTAATACATAATAGATTCAAAGCTCAACTCTTCATAAACCATATTACTCAATTAAACTTTGGGGAATTTGAAATTAGTAAACAAAGATCACATTAGGAGAGAAGGTACCTTGATACTTCACTACCCATTGTTCCTTGCATTCTCCTCATTCTTTGACAAATTCTTGTACTGTTTTATCATTTTACAACTGATCCAGAGTATGTGGCACCCACAAGGATTAAGACATTACATGCAGAATAGTTACAGTCGCAGACACAAAGCATATGATGGGCTATCTAATCCAGCTGTCTGCAATATTCTTAGTGCAATAATATACTAAAGACCCTTGGAATGTTTCACTACAATTGCTGTGTTCTGTTGACGCAAACCATCTATTTCAGCCAAGATTTAGCACAATTGCAGTGAATTCAAGCCTTCACACATTTGACACTTCAGAATTAGAAAGGCACGTTGCCTGCAGCAGGATCATATCAGATCAAATAACTGATATCAGATTCAATTTGGCCAAGCTCCTTTCTCATGAAATGGGAATTCACATTCCAGAGCATTAATTACAGAATGCCAGGTCCCAGAATAAAAATGATTTCAAATATCAACAGTGATTACCAGATAAGCAGCATTGCAAACTATAACATATTCATAAAACTGAATACTCAAATAACAGACAGTACAAATTCCAATGATGCAATGCTAGCTGCATGCATTTTAGTATCAGAACACATGATAGTAGCCTCATCACTCATCAATCCACAAATAAAGAAAGATTAAAAGAAAAGTCCACGACTGACAGTGATTCTCCTTAAAACTTCGCAGTGTCTCCAGAAGATAATATAGATGATTAAATTAATACAAATAATAATACCAATCCTCACTTCCCACTTAGTGGAAAAGTCACAAAGGACAAATAAGGCCTTGGACAAGGAATTTTGGTTTAGAAAATTTGCAACTAGGACCTTGCCTGAAAAACAAAATCAATAGAGTGGTTGACTTTGACACATATTCACAAGGGAGCAATGTGCACCTAAAAGATGCTCATAAGATGAATCATTCTCATGGTTTTATCTGTAAAAAAAAAATTGGAAGAATGTTTTCGGCCTTTCTGAAAGCTGAAACAGCGCAATAGTTTCTGGTTTATCAGTATGACAACACCCAGACATTGTAATTTAACAGACATTTATTCTGATTATCAAAATATTTAAAGTGCAAAAGGGTTTAAATCATGGTGAAATTCAAAGTCAAAGGCTTGGATTTTCACTCTCAGGTTGGGAGCATAGAGTCGGAAAGCAGCCTGGAAGTTGGGATTTTCATTCCACTGTGGCAGGGTTCCCAGGGAGATAGGCCAGTTGGCCCTGGAAAGAGAACAGAAGTTGTCAGGAGAAAAGAAATGGGTGTGAATGGCCTGCTTCCATGCAGCACAGAGAGAGAGAAAGTGGGAAGAAAAGGTAAAGGGACTGGTGAACAGAGGAGCTCCGAACGGGGCTTCCTATTCTTCTTGTAATGCATAATAATTCTTGTTCAGTGCAGAAACCTGGTCCATGTTTTCTATCAACGTAGGTTCGAAAGTCAGGTATATTGGAATTCCTTGTGCACTTTAGAAAACCTATAACTTTTGTGATGACTCTGGGAATAGTAGAGCACATTTTCTGTAAAGCACATAACTGAAGGATGAGATGCTGTAAAAGAAGTACAACTGAGTTGCTGTTTCACCAGTTTGGAGCCCTGGATGATGAAAAGTGAACAAATAAAAGAGGAACTTTAATCCTTTCTGTCATTTAAACTCTCCTGCCTTCCATCTTATCACAGATATTCCATTTTGTTGGTTTCTCCCTCTCCCCTTTCCCTATTCATCAAAAATGTGTTCCATCTCTAAATTGTTTCAGGGCTGACAACATTTCATCGACTTGAAACGTTAATTTATTTACTTTCTCCACCTAATCTCTCCACCCAGTCTCTGCCTAACCTGTTGAGTGGTTTCAACATTTTCCATCCAATGTTGCAATATTTGTTTCCCAGAGTGACCACAACCTAACTTTAATTGTGTCAATGAGGATCAAGTCACCTTCAAGAATTTATCTGGTATCATTACAAGACCTATTATTTCAATCAATTATCCTTAACAATGATACTTCCCTGACACTGCTATATCAACATCTGTCAATTTAGCTATTTCTAATTACAAGGAAACTGAATAAGAACACAAAGGCCAATACAAGTCTGAATCCATGCATATGTGTGTTGAAGACACATGAAGACTTTGAAAAATTATGGTTCAATATTCCAAAATGGAGTGAATATTCTGCATGTTTTTTGCAGCTTCCTTATCCATAGAACATATAAATCAGTAGAATGCAACCTCTGGATAATATTTTAGAGGACAGTGTCACACAGGGTGACTAACTGTCCTGGATTTCATACTTTAGGTGGATGAACTGGGATTTTGCTGCTGGAATGGCCTTGGTCCCATTGTTTAGCTCTTTGCCTTTCCCGCATAAAGTGGTATGCACCTGGCACATGTCACTCTCCTCCTGGTGGCGAATTCCCATAGGCTCACCAGCAATCCCCTGGACACTCTCAATATCACCTTCTTCATCACGGTGGTTCAGTGTTTAGCACTGCTGCCTCACAGCGCCAGAGACCAAGGTTCAATTCCAACCTTGGGTGACTGTCTGTGTGGAGTCTGCACATTCTCCCCGTATCTGTATGGGTTTCCTCCGGGTGCTCCGGTTTCCTCCCACAGTCTAAAGATGTCCAAACTAGGTGGATTGGCCATGTTAAATTACCCATACTATCCAGGGATGTGTAGATTAGGCGCATTAGCGACGGGAAATGCAGGGTTATAGCGATAGGGAAGGGGGATGGGTCTGGGTGGGATTCTCTTAAGAGGGTTGGTGTTGGGCCAAATGGCCTGCTTCCACACTGTAGGGATTCTATGATTCAATGATACCCCTAACCTCTGTTTCCACACATTCATCAGAAACCCTACCTCCTAGACAACAGAGTTTGGACACCACCCCACGCTGCTCTCCTCTCCAATCCCAGCAGCTCTCCAGAATCCACCCATCTACTTCTCATAGTTTGGATAGCACTCTCCCTCCCCCTTCTCAATCCTACAGATTTACCTGAGCCCTTCCACCTCTGCTTCCACAGTCTAGACAACCCCTACCTCCCTCCATCACACACTGGACAGCAAGCTCCACAAAGGTCCTATGGTTTCATCCAAAAACGCCCAATTATATAGTCAGTCTCCCACGCAAAAATTCCCTGGAAGTTGGTCACCCTGGTTTCATGTGGAATTCTACAGTTGCCAACAAACACTTCTCCGGGTGTCTACATATTTCAAATTTTCAAGTGTATCTGCCAAAGGTCCAGCAAAGAAACAAAATCTAGTTGATACAAATTTAGACCTGTCCCTCTAGTTACTTACCGGAAGAAAAATGCAGCTAAATTAGTGATAAAACCTACGTAATATTTTACTCTTCTTGAAGATCCAAGATTAAATGTTCATGCTAAATTAGCAAATCCAAATTCAAATTGCAGACTTCGTGTGATACATCCTTATATTTAATAACATAGGTTGCTTATACATTTGTGATATGTAACTTTGTTTTGCTTTACTCAACAGCCATTCAGTCTCCGAATATTGAATGACTTTTAGAATGTGCGTGTTAATACAACTGGTTGGTGCAATCCATCTTTATTGAAGGCAGGTGTGGGACTTGAATCTGTTGAACAAGCACTATGACTAAGCTACTTAAAAATATTATATAAATATGTGCTCTGAATTCAATTTAACGTTGATTAACGATAGTATTCTGGTGCACTTATGAGTAATGGCGAACTAAATACAAGTGCAGGTTTACTAAAATTATCCACTTAATCTTGTTATTTGATCTTACTTGTTAGTCAAGTGTTAAATTGAGCACACAGTACGCGGAACCGACAGATCAAAAGACTCACTGGGCAGTCAGAAAATAATTAGGGCTGTAGAGTAAGGAGTTCCATGTGGCAATATACCTTGCTTGTACACTATCTTTTTAACTTAGAAATAGAGAGCACAGCACTGAAAACTAACCTGGATCTACTCAGAAACACACTTGTTTCTTTTTTTCATTTTTACAAACTTCCAATGGAATTGGGCCAATGTGTTAGAATTCACTACAAATGCTGACTATTACTGCATATCTTAGAATAGCAACTTCAGATAAGTGCATATTTGCATTTAACCCTGAAAATCTTGAGGTTGGTGTCTGAGCTAACATCTTCCCTCTGTAAACTGGCCCGAAGACACATGCAAACAAACTGAATGTGATAAATGTGAGATGTTGCATTTTGGTAAAACAAACAAGGGCGGGACTTATGCAATGAACGGTAGAGCCCTGTAGTGTTGTCGAACAGAGAGACCGAGGGGTTCAGGTACATAGTTCTTTGAAAGTTGCATCACATGTAGACAGGGTGGTTAAGAAGGTGTTTAGCACACTTGCCTTCATTGCTCAGAGCACTGAGTATCGGAGTTGGATGTCACGTTGAGGTTGTACAGGATGTTGGTGAGGCTACTTTTGGAGTACTGTGTACTGTTCTGATCACCCTGCTATCGGAAGGATTTTATTAAATTGCACAGGGTTCAGAAAAGATTTACCAGTATGTTGCTAGGAATGGAGGGTTTGAGTTATAAGGACAGACTGGATAGCCTGGGACCTTTATCGTATGAGGTTGAGGGGTGACCTTATAGAGGTTTATAAAATCATTAGGGGCATA